AGAGAGAGAGAGAGAGTGAGTGAGTGAGTGAGTGAGTGAGTGAAATTCTCAGTCAGTAATGATGAGCTCGTCGCAGCCCCAGTCCTCATAACTCCCATCCGGCAGATACCGACGAATGATGATGGGGATCTTCCTGCTCCTGATCAACACACACCACATACACACACACACATAACATTAAAACACACCACACACACAAAAATACAAATCCTGAGACTGTGTCAGTGCTGCAATAATGTAATAACATGTTTTTGTCATACTTGAGTTCTTTCATGGCGATCTGCAGTGGATCCGTCTCTCCTTCCAGTTCCACCATCACCGGTGCACACATCCTGTCACACAGGAAGTGATGTCGCTGATGAGTAATGCAGCATTATGAGCATTTAAATAAAACACAAATATAAAGCTGCTTCCAAACAAATGTTTCTTGTAAAAAGTGCTATACAAATACAATTGACTGGCTTTTATTTATACTGATGTTTTTATGGTTTAAAAAAAAAACTATTTAAAAAATTGTTAATTGAAATAAGACTGAAATAAAATGTAAATATCAGATGAAAAGCAAACTAAATGGAAATTAGAAATGCTGTCTTTGCAGCAACTTTGCATCTGAATTTAAAGGGGTCATATGTGGTTGACGCTGTGTTTCATTGTGAAAGCGAAACTTTGTTTGGTCTTCCAAAAGAGGACACGACTAGAAATCAGTGGTCAAGTTGTATTTACAACACTGTTCCAGAACACTTCAACCCAAATATTCAGATGTGTGCAGCACATTTTATGGAGGACTGTTTCCTGATCCTGGGAGAGTAGACTACAATGCCAGCTGTTCTGACTCACAGACCGTAAGTACGTTTTTATATTTAAAAAGTTTTTATATTTTTTATATTTAAAGCGAGTTTTTTGAGCAGTGTAGAGTAGCACTTATTGTTTGTCATTTCTCCGATCACAAATGCAGACATGGTTTTATGTTTACGCGGCGTGATGCAACGCATAGAGAGACAGTATAAGTCATTATAATACATAATTATGTCCCCACTGGATGCAACAAATGCCTCGTTTATAATGGGTTTTCATGTTTTTGTCTCGTCGCTCCGGCCGGACACGGCATCACAGTATGGTGAGGGGCGTAACATTTCCGTCACACGCTTGAGGTATTCGGCCAATCACAGCGCACTGGATAGCTGGCCAATCAGAGCACACCTCGCTTTTCAGAACGATGAGCTTTGTAAAAATCTACGTGTTTCAGAAAGGCGGGGCATAGAGGAGAAACAATAATGTACAGTATGTGGAAAATAATGTTTTTAACCTTAAACCGCATAAACACATTTCATTACACCAAATACACAAAATAATGTTATTTTTAGCAACATCATATGACCCCTTTAAATTAAGTACTACCATGACTGATACTAAAAAAAGGAAACATTTAACAAAAACTAACAAAAATGACAAAAGCACACAACAAAATGACAAACAAAAAATCTGAAATAAAACTCAAAATATTAATAAATAAGGTAACAATATATTAATAATGCTAAAATAATACTTCTGTGTATGGTAGGGTGTGTACAGTGTGTGATGTAGATTTCACCCTCAGCATCGTAAGGTGACGACACGGAAAACAAACAGGAGACAGAACAACAAACAAACACACACACTAGCTGCTGGAGACGCAACAGATGCTCATGAGGCGACTCAGAGACGAATGAACTCTAGTTGAGAAGATCGCAAGATATTTTTAGCACTCGTAAATTCAGAAGATAAATAGCGCAGATATTGGCCAAAGATTAATCTTTCACCTGCATTCACACACGCCACCAAATGGAGTTTACTCTGAAAGGCTATGCAACACATTGACTAGTTCACACATCAAAACTGAAGTATATGTTGGGTGTCAAGGGTCAGAGGTCACTCACGCGATCTGCAGCGCTCGTGTTCCCAGCACTCGCGCGCGCTCGTATTTGGTCATGTAAGGAGTGGTGATTCTCTTCTGATTGGCCTGCTGTCCTTCACCCGCCGGCAGGATCTGAACGTTCTCCTGATCCTCCTGCACACACGCACACGCACACACGCACACCCAGAGACGCGTGCACACAGAGACGTGCACACAGAGACGTGCACGCACAGAGACACAGATGCGCGCACACAGACGCGCACGCACAGAGACACAGATGCACGCACAGACGCGCACACAGAGACACAGATGCACGCACAGAGACACAGACGCACGCACAGAGACGCGCGCAAACAGAGAAACAGACGCGCGCACAGAGACGCGTACGCACAGAGACACACAGACGAGCGCACAGACGCGTACACACAGAGACACACAGACGAGCGCGCAAACAGACAGACGCGTACACACAGACGCGCGCACACAGAGACACAGACACGCGCACAGAGACGCACGCAAACAGAGACACACAGATGCGCGCACAGAGACGCGCGCAAACAGAGACACACAGACGCGCGCACACACACACACACACACACACGCACACACAGAGACGCGTGCACACAGAGACACACACACAGAGACGCGCACACAGAGACGCGCACGCACAGAGACACAGATGCGCGCACACAGACGCGCACGCACAGAGACACAGATGCACGCACAGACGCGCACACAGAGACACAGATGCACACACAGAGACACAGATGCACGCACAGAGACGCGCGCAAACAGAGACACAGGCGCGCGCACAGAGACGCGTACGCACAGAGACACACAGACGAGCGCACAGACGCGTACACACAGAGACACACAGACGAGCACACAGAGACGCGCGCAAACAGAGACAGACGCGTGCACACAGACGCGCGCAAACAGAGACACGGCGGGGCATAGAGGAGAAACAATACTTAACCTTAAACCGCATAAACACATTTCATTACACCAAATACACACACACAGACGAGCACACAGAGACGCGCGCAAACAGAGACAGACGCGTGCACACAGACGCGCGCAAACAGAGACACACAGACGCGCGCACACACACACACAGAGACACACACACAGAGACGCGCACACAGACGCGCACACACAGAGACACAGATGCGCGCACACAGACACGCACGCACAGAGACACAGATGCACGCACAGACGCGCACACAGAGACACAGATGCACACACAGAGACACAGATGCACGCACAGAGACACAGACGCGCGCACAGAGACGCGTACGCACAGAGACACACAGACGAGCGCACAGACGCGTACACACAGAGACACACAGACGAACACACAGAGACACACAGACGAGCGCACAGAGACGCGCGCAAACAGAGACAGACGCGCGCACACAGAGACACAGACGCGCGCACAGAGACGCGTACGCACAGAGACACACAGACGAGCGCACAGACGCGTACACACAGAGACACACAGACGAACACACAGAGACACACAGACGAGCGCACAGAGACGCGCGCAAACAGAGACAGACGCGTGCACACAGAGACACAGACACGCGCACAGAGACGCGTGCAAACAGAGACACACAGATGCGCGCAGAGACACGTACGCACAGAGACACACAGACGCGCGCACAGAGACGCGCGCAAACAGAGACACACAGACGCGCGCACAGAGACGCGCACGCACAGAGACACACAGACGTGCGCACAGAGACACGCACGCACAGAGACACAGAGACGTGCACGCACAGACGTGCACGCAGAGACACGCACACAAAGACACAGACGCGGGCATGCACAGAGACACACACACACACACACAGAGAGAGACGCACACACACACACACACGCACACACACACACACACAGAGACACACACACACAGAGACGCGCGCGCACACACACACACAGATGCACACACACACACACACACACACACAGAGAGAGACGCACGCACACACACAGATAAGACTGTGTCAGGAGAGTCCGACACTGATGCACTTCAACAATCAAACCGTAATTGAGATTATGAGCTGAAATACAACAGAAACTAGGCCTATATGACTTTCATTACAAATACATTCCAGATGTCACTAAAGCCTGGCTCACACAGGATTTTTAGCCCCGATATCACCCTCCCGATAATCTGAGCAAAAATCTTGTAGAGTCCCTCGATCGGTCCCGATGTTCGGCGCGGATTATCTGGTAATGTGAGGCGTTCACGGATCGAATCTTGCACCTCCCGATCGGCTCGCACACACATCAGGGCCGCCCCGATCATATCAAACATGTTCGATATTTAGGATTGAAATCGGGATGATGACGGCTATATGATTACGCCAGTACTTTCACAATAGCCAGTGCGCGAGCGCAAAACAGCTGCTGTGCGGCTCCACTGGATACGGAGACGGAGGAAACTGCTTCTTGATGTTTTATAGTACACTGTAAAAAAAAAAAAATTCTGTAGTTTTTACAAAATAATTTTGGCAGCTGTGGTTGCCAGAATAATTTTGTAAAAAATACAGAAAAACTGTAAACACATTTACGGCCAAAAACGGTAAATGTTACAGTATAAAACTGTAATTTACAAACAAGAAAATTTGATTGTAAACCAGTAAATTCAACAATGCACACTGCTATTAATATCTGTTTTGTACCTTTAACATACTGACCACCACCATAATAATAATGCAGCTGGTAAAAGAGAAAGCCACATGAAGCAGGCTAGCTAACATATGTAAACATCACAGAGGATCTGCTGCGTGCGCCTGGCGTAATAGTCTTAACATCTTGTCGTGTGCGATGTTCAGATCGTGTAGTGTGTGCATGTGTAAGATTTGAGGGAAGATAGCCTGCAGAGATTCTCCTTGTGTGTGTGTGTGTGCTGCAGCCAGACTTCATTACCGGCTAGGATTTAAAACCCCTGTAGTGTGAGCCCGGCTTTAGTTTCGAGTAACACAAACCTTCATTAGTCATTAATATCATGTCAACAAAGGAACATTTTTAACGACTCTATAACATGCACTTAACCAACACAAGTGGCATTGAGATTCTGAATGGAAACACTATACAAACGACACTATTTTCATTAAAGACACATGAACTCAGTACCTCCTCCGCGTTCTCCAGGTCATCCAGAGGCTCCTCGTCTTCCGCATCGTCGAAGTCTCCGTCGTCGAAGCTGAGCGACAACAACACACGCTAGCGTTACAGGTGTGCGAGGAGCTCGTCGTGTTGTGCTCACACTCACAAACACTCTAACAGACGCGCTGGGAACTCACTTGTCTTCGTTGTCAGACATTATTAGCGTCTCGTGTAATTCTCGTTTATTGTGGCGTCTCGCGAATCGCAGCGTGGAATGAGCTTCCGGCGGTGCTGCAGTCTCCACGGTCCGTACAGAAACACGAGCGCAACAACACTGACCTCCCCCAAACAGATACACGCAAGTACGTAAATAAAACCGACGAATATATGTATATATTTTTATACACAATATTAAGGCATTTACAGGCATATCAATAAGTAACTAATGAATCTTACGTGAAAGTGGTTCGCCGACGCTTGTATGATTGAAATGTAAGATGTCACACACTTTAAAGACAATTGCATTTGTTTTGTAGAACTTATCATTGAATATACTTCTGCTGTGTTTTCTTTGCATTAACCAGATAGCCTCAGTGAGTTACCAAAGCGATTGGCGTCAATGAGAAATTATTTATTGAATGTTTGTTTTGTGTTGCTATAATAGACATGTGTACTCCATAAGTACTCCAAGTGAATATTGTCTTAGTTAAATTTTTAATAGCAATCTCTCTCTCTCTCTCTCTCTCTCTGGTTTTATTGGCGGGTCGCAACCAACTTGTTCAGGTGCATACCGCCACCTACTGTACCGGGGTGTGCAACTTCAGGGCTTCATGTGCTTAGCATCGTTATAATAAAAAAAAAAAATTAAAAAAAAACAAAAAAAAATAATAATAATAAAATAAAATAAACTTTTATATTAATAATTACAAATACCCCCTTCCCATTTCCTTTACTTAAATATTTAGCAAACTTTATTTTTCCCATTTCTTTTTCAATAGCTTTTGTCAACTTTAATGGATGAAAGTGTACCCCTTCTCTTTTGAATGTTACCATTACTTTCCATTCCATTTCTTCATCCACCCTCACGCTTGACTTTGCAGCCTTTGTTTTTTTCCCCATGTCACTCACCTCCAACCCTAAACTTGAACTTCCAGAGCTATTACTCCTATCTTTCCTCTTCCTTGACACATCCTGCCAAGGCATACCTTCACTGTCTCCATCCGTACTTTCACCCATGATAGTTGCATCCACGGTACAGTTGTTGCTAATCCGTCGCACAAAACCGCACTCGCCTGTAGAACTCAGGCGCGAACACCCTATCTCCCTTAATAGCAATCTAATCTGGATTGATGATTTATAGAATGCATGTCTATAGGTGTGTTCGACTTGAAGCGGCGCTGCGCAGATCGATCGGTGTTTGACATCAAAGCACCTGGGGCAGGTTCAAGCTCAAACCGGTGCGCAACGTTTTGCTACGGTTTCCGGTTTGAACAACATGTTTCCTGTGCAACGGGGTTTGAGATGCGTTTTCTCAAATAAATTCACAAGAGCAAGTATATTGTTTGCACATGTTTATTTACATTAAAGGCAAAATAACTGAAATAATAAAGGCACAAGTATAGATCTGGAACTTCTTTAAGTCTGTCTAAATATCATTTAGTAATTGCAATGTCTTCTGCTCCATATCCTTTCCTTAGGAAGGTGTGCTAGACACTGATTAATGCAACATAAAAATACTATATTTATATATTTTGCTATTGTTTTGTGGAGTGACACTTTCATAAACCTTTCTACATTCCTCTGATTATATAATGGTGTATATTACAATAGCATAGCACAACAACAGCGATCAGCAATAATGGTAAGCCGAATACTCACAATAAAAATAAGGTCATATAGATCATAACACAGTTTTGGAGGTAAGAAGTGGATTATCCTTCACCTGAAATGTTTGTCTTTTCATCCTGAAATGCGAGGCAAATGTTGGATCACAATAATTAGGAACCACAGTTTGCACAAATCCCTTCACTCGATTGGGATGTTCTCTTTTATTCTGGAGGGCAAGGGCAGTGACTGTAACATCGAGCGTATTTTGCAGTATTAAACACATATTTATACCGATTTCATCAGGCTCCGAAAATTCTTCAGAAAGAACACAAAAAATGGCCTTCTCAGCTGCCATAGCTGCAACTCTTGCGTCATCAGAACAGTGTGTTCAACGCACCGCCGTTTCCGTTTAAAACACGTTTTGCTCCGTTTTGTCGGGGCTGAACGCAGCCCTGTTTTCAGGGTTTGGTCAGGTGACGTTCGACATATACCCTCTTAATATTCATTCTCTGTTTAGCCTGATTCTTCAGTCACTCTGTTCTGACATTTTTTACACCACCAAACAAGAGAAAACGTATCTCAAACCCCGTTGCACACTGTTTCCAGGAAACGTGTCGTTCAAACCGGAAACCGTAGCAAAACGTTGCACACCGGTTTGAGCTTGAACCTGCCTCTGATAAGTTTAAATGGGAGGAGTTTAAATGTACTGACCGACTGTGAAAGACAATCATCTCAGTACGCAAATAAAATCACAACGAGTTAATTTGAAAGCTTTAAAGCTGCAGTCCGTAAGTTTTGCCTCTTTGTCGCCTTCTCTGTTTGAAAACCTGGAATTGAACATAAAACGAGTGTGCCATGAAATACGTAATGTAATGCGTGTTGTAAAGATCGTGAGTAAAAACAAAAGAAAAAGAAAAGCTTACAGCTGCATGAGTCGTGACTGTCACGTTAGCCTGATGGGACCAAACTCTCTTTGTGATTTTAAAACGTAAGACAGTACCCAGATCTGAAGACTACAGTAAGATTTAACTTCTACTGTTAATAAGATTGTGGTAGGCTACTATTAGATGGATAGCCTAAATGTCCTAATTCAGATGGGCTACCGTTTTTTTTTTTTATGGTATATCAAAAAGTGTATATTTTTTATGTGATTGTTGGTACATTTTGCCAGTTTTTACCATACTTTCAAAACAAAAATTAAAATAGGAAAAATATGCAATATGAAAATAATTGAAGACAAAATGTGTTTTACTGAGAAAAAACAAGATTTGGTTTTTAAAAAGACTTTTTCCAAAAGGTGCATCTGGAAAAGGGGGTCGTCTTATAATCAGGGTCGTCTTATATTCAGGCCAATACGGTAATGTCGAAACATTGAGGTTAACCCGGAAGTGGCCCATGGATGGGAGGACTGGAGGTAGCGGGAAAGCAAACGACAACATTGCTGGATCAAGACAATCTGAGAGGAGATCGCATGAGTC